AATTACTTAAACTAAGCTAGAAAGAAAGAAAGAAAGAAAGAAAGAAAGAAAGAAAGAAAGAAAGAAAGAAAGAAAGAAAGAAAGAAAGAAAGAAAGAAAGAAAGAAAGAAAGAAAGAAAGAAAGAAAGAAAGAAAGAAAGAAAGAAAGAAAGAAAGAAAGAAAGAAAGAAAGAAAGAAAGAAATCAAATTTATGGTTACCAAAGGGGAAGGGGGATGGTGGGATAAATTAGGAGTTTGGGATTAACAGATACACAATACTACATATAAAATAGATAAACAACAAGGTCCTACTGCATAGCACAGGGAACTATATTCAATAGCTTGCAATAACCTATATAATTATATAACTGAATCACTATGCTGTGCACCAGAAACAAACACAACATTGTAAATCAACTACACTTCAATTAAAAAAAAAAAAAACACCCAAGTCAGTTTCTTCCAGGGGAATTACCTCTGTTTAGCAAAACACCAGGAGAGGACATGTTGCTATGGGAAGGAAAGGCCTCAGTGCTTGGCCAGGATAATCAGAGACAGACAGTGAGGAAGCTGACTTGCCTGTCGTGAAAAGGGGGATGGAATCACCTATTCTGGTACAGCCTTACAAAGGAGACACAAGAGGGAAATTTTTAGGATGGTACATGGCAGGAGGCCAGAGGACGGGGGGAAATTTAGTCCCAGATGAAATTTTCTGTGGGGTTAAAGAATATGGAAGAACTCAGAGCTTCCATCTCACTGCTGTCAGCGCCGTCTCTGCCACTGGCCCCACCTCTTCCAGGTCCCTGCTTCGCCCAAGTATCTGAGACGTGTCTGGGAGGTGCGGGGCAGCGGAGTGCGCCCGGCTCAGCTCTGCCCGACTAGGGTGGCGGGCGAGCCCAGGCAGGACACCAAAGTGCAGGATGTGAACCCACATCCCTCGGAAGCCACACAAACTCGAGGTCGGCAGGCAGGCATGTGTCCCTTGCGGTTGAGGCAATTTCACTTAAATCTCAAAAAACAGGAACCCCAGCTCCGCACATCTAAGACAAGCTTCATAGCCAACCTCTGATGGTTTGGGAGAGAACGCCTGTGTGTCTGTACTCTCCTCTTTCCTCTTCGTAACCACTGTTCGGACATCTTAGCACCATCACCAACGGTCACTGAACCTCAGGAGAGATGGGCCAGCTCACACTGGCTTACTTTTCTCTTTGTCACCATCTGGAGCAAGAGATGGTATCGGGGTGTCTCAGTTTTCCAATTCTGTCCACGTGTGCCCAGCGATGGGCGTCTAAGCGAGAAACACTGCTCTCTTCCTGTTGCCTCCATGTATCTGACTGTGTCCATATGTGCTCCTCCGTAAATACTCCAATGAACTCAAAAGTGGATTGATTATTCTGTCTCCTGCAGCAGGTGACTCTCATCTACAGCCTGTGGAAGACCAATGAAACGCTTCTTGCAACGGCTCATGATACTTCCCAAAACTAAGTGCTAATTTGTAACGACCGGGGCAAATTCACACAGCGTCTTTATTCCCGGAATAGTGCCTTCAGAATGGCATTATCTGGCCACTCACCTGGGCTGTTCCGGAGTGAGGACTATTCCTCGACTATAATAATAGTAAAAAAGAAAGTTTCCTCCTGGCGGGAAATTCCAGAGAACAGAGCATCTATACTGGAGGATGTCTGCCGAGTCCTCGGAACACGAGAGGACAGTTAGGATTTGTACGTATGTCTAAATGTTTACGCGACACTCATTGCTGGAGGGACACTGGCAATTCGTGTTTGCAAGTAGTGTGCTGGTTCTCTGTTCCCAGCTGTGGAAAAGCTACCCCCAAAAAGGCTCACACAAAGGCTCGATGCTTTGACATTATGCCTGGAATGTGTCTGTGATCTTGCTGTGTTCTTCGGAGTGTTTGGGGAATCAGCAAACCTAACGTACAACCAAGTATTTCAATCTGACAAGGACGTGATCATTCCAAAGCCACCTGCCTGGCTCCCAGGTTCGCTGCGCTGCAGCTGCCCTGACGGTGCCGGCTGTCTTCCAGCCTGCCCCTTCCTGCCCCTTCCTCTTAGTCGTGTTCCTTATTCTGCAAACACACAACATAACCCTTCCAGACATTTCCAATTGAATGCATCTGCACTGGTCAGTTCTTCTTTGAGTTTTCACAATAATTCCTATTTCTATTTGAAAAACCCAAAGCAACACATATGCACCCTCTAGCAACAGTGCTTTTGAAAATATTGTTTCCATTTCAGTGCCTTTATCAATAGATACATGCCCACACTAGGAGTTTGTTCACATTCATTTTATAAACAATCTTTTATTAACTCAAAAATCAGTCTGCCCAGATGGGCACACACATGTGCTTGGGCCTTTTAATTGAAAACAAAAACAAAAGCAAAAACCTACTTCTAACTTCATGGCATTTACAGTCTAAAAGTGCTTATTTACCAGAGGCAAAATAGATTTCTTTGCAACGAATCTTTCTTGCAAGCTATCAGAATTTTTAAGGCATGTCTCGGCTTAATGAATCACTCTCATTATTCCTGGGTAATTTACCTCTTCACCTCTGCTTTTTTGTTATTTTTTTTTTGCCTTTATTCATTTTTGTTTATTAGAGAAGCACAAAACAGCTGAAAATTAAATATTTTCACTTTACATGATAATTGGAGTTTAGGATAAAGGTTGAAACTACAACCTCAAATCTAATTTGAATACAAATAAAGTTTTAATGTTATCAATTCATTTTTTCCCATTCTACCTTTGAGCCTTGTTGCTAATCATTAACATGGTCTGTCCAAGGACACACGAAAGTAGAATGCATTCCATCCAGCACGTTTATTGTAATGAGGGATAAATAGTACGTTGATACTGAAGACTCACACTGGAATGTGACATGCTTGATCCCAGGACAGAGCTCCAAACATCACGTTTCCTTTTCCTTCCCAGAACAAATCAGGCAGCTTAGAGTCTGGGCAAGGGCTGGGCGATTTACACAACAATGTCACCTCTGATCATCAGTCAGAGTCACCTGGAGTCAGACGGGTGGAAGGTGTGAGGGTCAGGCGATGCCAACGGGATGTCAGGCAGCACCAGGATGGCAGAGGATGATCCCTCAGAGGGCAGTTCTCACACTCACGCCAGGAACCTTAGAAAGGAAGAAACTCGGAGGCAGCTGGGAAGTCAGAGCAGCCTCACGGCACCGTCTTTTCTGCATCTTGCTGGATAACTTGCTTGAGCCCCACTCGTGCTAACCAAGGAGCCCATGGAGGATGGGGGTGGCGATGAAGTCAGCCAGGAGGGAGGCCCCCCAGGGTCACTGTTGGAGGGGTTGTGGGAAAACAAGAAAACGGTACAATTCCATCAGGAATTGGGTATCTGGAGACTGTCTTCAAATCCAGCTGACCTTGAAGCATGGTTTCGGGCCCTAATTAGGACTCTGTAGCCATGTTTAAGATAACGCGATTTTCCTAAACATCACTGGTTTTTACTGTAGTCACTTATGTCTGGGTCTTATTAGAGCTTCAGGCCATTCCTTTATCTTCTAAGTGCCAGTGCAAAGCTGGAAAGGGGCGATGTTCACACCAATGGGGCACTTAAAATAAGGACTCTGATAAACTTGCTTACAAAACAGAAACAGACTCACAGACGTAGAAAACCAACTGGTGGTAACCAGCAGGGAGAGGAGGTGTGGAGGGATAAATTGGGAGTTTGGGATTTGCGGCTGCTAACTACTATATACAAAATAGATAAACGACAAGGTCCTGTGTAGCACAGGGAACTACATTCAATAACTTTTAGTGGCCTAGAATGAAAAAGAGTATGAAAAGGAATAAATATACATGTGTGTGCATGTATAAATGAATCACCATGCTGAACACCAGAAACACAACATTGTAAATCAACTATACTTCAATTAAAAAGCAAAAAAAAAAAAAGGAATTTGAACACAGAAGAACCAGAACCAGGACCTGTGGGACACCCACCTGTGAAGGTGGGCCGCAGCTGGGCCGTCAGAACGTATGTCCTCCAGGCAAGGCAGTACTCTGTCCACCACCAGGCATGGCGGAGTGACCACGGCACTCGGCCACAGCCCTTCTCACAGACCCCGGGGCCCAAGCCCAGCGCAGGAGCCCCAGTTCCCGCCGCCGCACTAGTATGGTTCTATTGGTTATAATAGCTCTAAATGCCATAGACACCTACTGTGTGCCCAGTACTATGCTAAGCCCCTCGTGCATGGTACTTACTAAATCCCACGACCCCTCCAGCGATGTAGGTACTAATCACCAGGTGCACCTTCTTCAGGTGCAGAATCTGACGCGCATAGTATGTCAGTTACTTGCTCAATTTCAAACCCGGCCAAGGCGCCGAGCGCCCTGCCCTGAGCGCCCCACACTCCCCGCCCCTCAGGAACGAGCTAATCTCCGGCCATCAACCCTCGGCCTCCTCACCCCACGGACCCGGCCCCCTTCTTCACTGCGCAGGGAAGGACTGAACTCGGCCAGGCCACAGTCTCCTCAGAGCACAAGGTCCTGAATGTAGCAACGTTGGGGTCCCTCCCCATCACGGCAGAGAACACTAACAGCGTGTTTGTCCTCTGCTTTCCGAGATCCCTAACTATTCCTTGAAACGGTTTAAGCCATTTGATGCCTCAGAGCAATCTCATTTACCTCCAATTCCAACTCCTGTAGTTCTGTGTGAAAAATAAAGCATTTGTAATCAGGAAATAACAGGAGGGGTGAGGAAGTCGACAGACAGTGAGCTGGGCTTTTCTTTACCCCCCACCCCCACCCCCGATAAATTACTTATCTAATTGGCAGCTGAACCCCAAGCCAGAGGCAGCAATGTGTGCCAGGCCTCGGGAAGTCACGGCACACCGCTGGCCGGTGTGCGGAGTCAGGACAGAGCTGCCTGAGGCTGTCTAACTGCCTTCTTTCTTGGTCTTTTCTCAATTTCGAGGGCACCTGAAATCCCCCTTCCCGTGCGCGGGCCGGTAACTGAGTCTCGTTTCCGCGCACAGAACCTGAAGCGGGTGGCGGAGACCTGGATGGACGAGTTCGCCGAGTTCGTCTACCAGCGGCGCCCCGAGTACCGGCACCTGTCCACCGGGGACCTCTCGGCCCAGAAGGAGCTGCGCAGACAGCTCAAGTGCAAGGACTTCAAGTGGTTCATGGCGGCCGTGGCCTGGGACGTGCCCAAGTACTACCCTCCGGTGGAGCCCCCGCCCGCGGCCTGGGGGGAGGTGAGGAGGGCGCGGCGGCCCGCTGGGGGCGGGGCGGGGCGGGGTGAGGGTGGGGGTCGGGGGCGTCCAGGAACCTTCCGCTCCCCTCCCTTGGGCAAGGAAGCCAGCTTTGCGTCTCTGATACATGTATGTCTGGCCTCTGTGGGGATTGATGCGGAGGGGCATTCAGCTCACCCTGAGAACTCTTGGCCCCCGTGGACCACCCCACAATTGACTTTTTTAAAAATATTTTTATGTGAGATTCGTGAAACTGAAAACAGTTGTCGTGCGACTGTGTGTCTAAGCGTGACCCCATGTCCACGCTAAAATCGCTGGCTGCCCTGTGCACGTAGCCTTGTTGCCATTGGCAGGTGTCAGGACCAGGTGCTGAGGGGCGTGGCCGTTTTCCTTACCAGGTGGGACGCAGAATCAGGAAGATGCGCTTTTGCTTAATACCCGGCACTGTGGCACGTGCGGGACCGCATGGGTTCCTTACACCAGCACTAACCTTTCCTTCCCTCTGAGCGCATCTTTTTGGATTTCATTTCATGATGTAAAATGGGACGAGCTGAAAAGCCCCAGTTTCCAAACTGACCATCTATATGTGAGCAGATAAAGGACGTTTGTGCCTGGTTCAGTTCCGTTCGTTCCCGTTACTGTGGCCTTTTCGCCTTCGGAAAGAGTGTGCTAGAGCACGGACCAAAATTGGAGAGGGTGGGTTTATCTTTGTAGCAGGATTTTTGCTTGTAGCAAGGGGCTGTGGGGGAATCGCGGGCGCTGGGGGTGGGGCGGGATGCTAGCACCATCCCAGCGCTCGGCGCTTCGGGAAGCCGGGAGCCGACCGTCTCACATCGTGGAGGGGCCTTCTCATGGTCGTTGTCCTTGACTTTGTCGTGGGGAGAGGACATGCGTTTGCCTGGTTCCTGTCTGTGGCTCGCCTAAGCTTTGGAAACAGGTTGCCCCTGGGCGTGGGAGGAGAGGCCCGGTTGTGGGAGGAGAGGCCCATGCGCTGGGGCAGCGATCCTGGGTGAGCTGTACCTGCTCCCTGCAGAAAACACGTTCAGCAGCTTACCTGTGCGCTGCTTGTTTTGCTGAGAGGTCCAAAGGGATGTCGTTCTCTACTTGACCTGGGACCTTGGGCATGAAGGGGAGAGACATGGCCCCCTCTACATGCCCTACCTCCTAATGTTCTTCTGTGTGCACGTGGTCCCGATCCTGGGTGCTTAAGTCAGTGAGCAACTTGGTCTAATTCTTTGCATCTTAAACATGTCATTAAAGTGTCCCTAGACTATTAGAAATATTAGTTTGTTCCTATTCATTTTCGTTATCTACCAGGGGCTTAATTTACAGCAGCAGAAATTTAAAGTAGACCCCAGAGAGAACTTTCTTAGTCAAATGCATTGTAAGACATTTAAGAATTTGTTACCCAATCAGCGGGTGAGTTTCTTCCTTGGGTTTTTTGGATGTGATGTCTGGCATCTTTCTGACTTTAAAACAGTCCCGCCTTAGTCCCCAGGATCTCCCAGCGTCACCGTGGGATTCGTGGCTGGATTAAAATCTCATCAACCTTTTCTCTGCCCTATGTGGAAACATCATTTATTCCAACCTGGTTACTACCTAAACTGCAACTGGTCCCATCTTCCCACATTACCTGACTAAACCATAACCCCCATTTATAAAACGTCTTGCTTGGAAACAGATTCCAAACTTCCCTGAGGCTCTGGAAAAAGACACAACTTCCCAGGAAAAAGCACAGGAAGGACTATCTGGCAGCTGGTGGGCGACACCAGTGTCTTCATCCTTACTCCTGCCCGCCTCACATCTTTACGTGGTTTGCCTGGGCCCTGGGGACACTTAAGATCATTATTCTCGGTCTAAACAATCAGACACCGAGAAGACAGGACTTTTTTTCTTTTTTTTAATATAATAGCAAGTTTCTTTCTCCAAATCTTCAGAACAGTAGACAAAGGAAGGTCATATTTCAGGTACAGGGAAAGAAGAAAATGGGTAAATAGTTCAAGGGCCAGTTACACCCAGTTACATCTGCTCAGTGCAGCGGTGGGACTCGGCAAGAGTGATGGCAGGAGGGAGGGGGGAGACCACACGCACCGGGGTGTGGGCTGGTAAACTGTCATGAAACGTATCTGTTTCCCTCCCAAGCAGACTAGGTCCCTGAGGGCAGAAGTGATGCCTGGACACTGAACGCAGAAGGCAAGTGAAGTGTTTGGAACGTGGCTTAATCCAAGTGAAATGATGAACAGGGCAGACCGTCTTCTAACTTTATACTCAATAATAACCACCTGCTTCTCAGCGGTGGATAAAAATGACTAACTGTGCAGCATATTTCTACGGACCGTGTGATCGCTGAAAAAAACTCCAACTTTTCACCGGTGTTTTTCTTTTCCCTTTGACGGTGGCTTTTGTTTGTTACTCTTTCATTTTGGGACAATTTTAAATGTACAGAAGAGTTGCAAACAAAGTAAAGAAAGCTGACATACACCTTTCACCCTGTTCCTTCTAATCGTAACATCTTGTGTTTGCCACGCTGCCTGTAGTAGATCTGATCTCGCTGGTTAGTACTGGGACCACGCTATTAACTGAACTGCAGACTTTATTCAGATTTCACTCGTTTTTTTCCACTAATGTCCTTTTTCTGTGGCAGGATCCAATCTAGTATGTGAAAGAGCTGTTTCGGCTCCTATAAGCTTTAAATGAATTGTTACAATAGGCCAGGCTCCTGCATAAACGTAGTCGGTCACTTGCTATTTTGGTAAGGAAAGTGCGAAGGGAAACACA